AGAGCTCCATTCATCCTCAACAATAAATACAATGCCATAGTTACTTTTTTTTAAGAATACGCTACATCACTCCTGTGGCTTTAAGAATATAAAACAGAGATCTATTTGAAAAACTTTCCAAATCCTTTGCAATGTGTACATAACTAAATTTCTTTAGGAGAAGATTTTTAGGAGCCTTTTCTCACTGGCCAACAGCAACAACAAAAATCCATACCATATACAGCACCAAGAATTACAATCCTTCAAAACTCGGATGCTTGGATAATCATGTAAAAACACAACCAATAACATCCAAGACACTATATCACCACTAGATCCTAGCACCCCTACTATGATAGGCCCCGAGAAACACAATATAGCTGAAATTAAATCTTGATGCTAAGAACCATTGGCACTCTGAAGAAATTTTCTGTATTATATTAAAAACAAATGTGTTCTCTTTAATCTTCTTGAAGGATAAGGATGTTGTGTATGACATAAAGTACAGAATGCTCCTATATTTCCAACTTGTCCCATGGAGCAGACTGCTGCAGTGTTTGCTGGGAACTTGATCCTTCCTGAGGTGACTTGGAAGGAAGTGGCAGTGATGACTCTCAATAACCTCAAAAGTCATACCCAAGAAAAATTCTTAAGTTTGATCCAAATAAAGTCATTGGGTATCTTACAGAGAGACTTGGTTAAGTGTAACTTGGTTAATTTTATTTCATTGCCTGACTTTGCACTCAAGAATATACATATTTATCTCAGTTGCCAATTAATGTAAGCACTCCTTAGGAACTCACTCTCCCTCTACCCCTGCAATTCTAAACCCGCAGGCTCTTTCTCAGCTCTGAAACAGACCACCTGCTATAGCCTCCTCCTTTATCTCTGCCCTTATTTCCAACAGATAACACAGATCTTCCAAAGCCTTCCTCCACCACACTGAGCCACCAGCTCCATCAGGCACTCCCTAGAATCCTGCCACCGGGCCAGCCACGGAATGGGTGAGTAGGTGATCTTCCCTAGCCCTGCTCTCTTTCAGTGCTTACCCATCAGCCTTACTCCCAGTTTGCAGCAGACCACTGTCTGTGGCCTCTTCTTCCTCTCTGCCCCCATTCCAAGAGGTCTGAGCAGATCCTGGTGATGCACCAAACATTCGTAACTCCTCTGGACTATCTCTAGCCCACTCACCTATAGCCCATCTCCATTCATTACTGGCTCTTCCCAACACCTACAAACACATTCTACCCAGGATCTCCAGAATTGTAGAAGCATTCCCTACCGGGCAACTCCTAGCCACCACATCTTCCTAAGAACCACAAATGGTAACAGAAACCAAGGAACTCAGTACACACACGCACAAAAAACCCCAACAACAACAACTAAAAACCCCACCAGATATCAACACCAACACCAAGAATTATAATCATTTAAAACTCAGATACCTGAGAGGTCTCACCTTCCATAAGGAGTGAATGGGGGGTGGGTGGGATAGGGTGTTGGTGGGAGTAAAGGGAGGATGGGCAGGAGAGAGAACTGGGATTGGTATGTAAAATAAGATTATTTTTAATTTAAATAAAAATTAATTTAATAATTTATCAGAAGTAAAAAAAACCTTCAGATGTAATACCCATGTAAAAATACAAACAATAACAGCCAAGACAATAGCAAAACTACAGTAGGCCCTGGGAAACACAATAAAGCTGAAGTACAAAAAAAGAGACTTCAAGAAACTGTTATGAATATGCTCATGGACCTTACAAAGGACAGTAATAAGTGCAATAAAAAATATAAATTCTGGAATGAAATGAGAAAATCCCTTCAAGATTTGAAAGTAGGAATGGCATCACTAAATAAAACCAAACGTAGGGAAAACTGGAAAGGAAAATTTAGGAACTGGAAGAGTAATTTCAGTGGCAAGCCAACCAACATAATACAAGGGACAGAAGATAGAATCTGAGGCATTGTAGACAAGACAGAAGGACTGTATAACTCACTCAAAGAAAATGTTAAATTCAAAAACTTTAAGACCCAGAGAACCTAGGACATTAGGAAAAGATGAAATCTGTGAATAAATAGGAGTAGAGAGAGGAGACTAAACCCATGTCAAAGGCAGACAGAACACCAAATAGACTGGAAGAAAAGAAATCCCCAATATAAATAATAATCAAAACATGAAACATACAGAACAAAGAGAGAATACTAAAAGCTTTAAGGGGAAAATACCAAATAGTATTAAAAGCTGAACAATTACAATAACATCTGACTTTTCAATTAGACTTTAAAGGCCAGAAGGGCCTGGACAGATGTTCTGCAAACTCTAAGAGAACACAGATGCCAGCACTGAAGGAAATGTTCTGCAACCTTACTCATCATGGAAATGCAAATCTAAACTACATTGAGATTTCATCTTTCATCAGTCAGAAAGACTAAGATCAATAACACAAGTGACAGCTCATGCCAGTGAGGATAAGAGTATAGGGAACGTTCATCCATTTCTGGTAGAAGTACAAACTTGTACAGATGCTATGGAAATCAGTGTGGAGATTACTCAGGAAGCTGAAATAGGTCTACCTCAAAATTCAGCTATACCACTTTTGGGCATATACCCAAAGGATGCTTTATCCTACTACAGAGACCCTTGTCCAACCACATTCATGTCTAATCTTTTCATAATAGCCAGACATTGGAAATAGTCTAAATGCTCATCAGTGGTTGAATGGGTGAAAAAAACATGGTACATTTACATAATTGAATGTTACTCAGCTGTTAAAACAATAGAATGGATGAAACTGTTAAAAAATATAACATACTCACATAGGTAACCCAGACCCAGAAAGACAACAACTGTATGTATTTGTTTATATGTAATGTTAGCTGTTAAGTCTTCAATAAGAAAGCTACAGCATGTATAACCACCGAAGTTAGGCACAGAGTACAGGAATAGGAGGGACAAATGGATCTCCCTAGCAAGGGGAAATGGAACAGATAATTATGACTGACTGAGGAGAGCACAGGAGTGGAAGGAGGAAACAAAAGTTTGGGAGAAAAGAAGGGGGTGAAGGAGGGAATATGAGGAGTGATAACTAAAGACCATTTGTGGGGGCCATATGAAAATCTAATACAGTACATGCTTATTAAAATACGTACATATGGGACGGTGATCTAAATGGAATTGCCAAACAGGAAGTAAGTTAGGACCCCAAAATCTCTCATCCCAGAATGAGCCTCCCCATGTGTGCAGTCATATGTGCTTCTATGTCTATATGTGTTTCCTGTGCTTTTTCTTCTGGTTTTGTTTTCTCCAATTCCAGGTTGTTTTTGCTTTATCTTATTTTATTATTGTTATTTAGTTGCCTGCTGATATTCTAAGCAGAAACTAAAAGGGTGTGGATTCAGTTGGGAGGTAGGTGGGGAGGAAAGGAAATCATAATCATAATATATTATATGAACAATATTTTCAATTTAAAAATAGAAGTAAAAAAATTCACACACGCTGGGCGGTGGTGGCATACGCCTTTAATCCCAACATTCGGGAGGCAGAGACAGGCAGATCTCTGTGAGTTCAAGGCCAGGCTGGACCGACAGCCTCCAACAGAGGCTCCAACAATACAGAGAAACCCTGTCTCATAAAAACCAAAAAAAAATGCATACAAATGTGAACTTGTGCAGTTAATACTCTTTTAACCAATGCTTTGTCCTCCGTTCAGTATTTAATGCCTCATCTTCTTATTTAATGTAGTTTCCATTTTGAAGAAATTATCCACTAAATCAGAAATGGGGCACTGACTAACTAATTTAGTGATTGTGTGTCTTAAACTGTATGAGAGAAGGAAAGGAAACATTAAAGCGATGACTTACTACATACAAAAAATATGGGGGGGTGTTCAGGGAAATTAAAAGTTGAATTAACTCTTCCGTCAAGCTGAATATTTTCCTTTTACTTCATGGTTTCTCCTGAAATTATTTTCAATGAGATTTACTTAAATCAGTGTTCTATAATTCTAATGTCTGAACTCAAACTCTTGCCTAATCCAATTGCTTTCTGTGAAGATGTGAAAACCACATCATGTTTAAGATTATTTTCCAGAGTACACAATTTAAAAGTTTGCTTTTTCACAATCTGTTGAAGAGCTGTGGAGTGATCAAATGTTAAGATTCATTTTAGTGAAGTGAATTATGCAATTATATATTTCCCTCTGTTTCAAACATTCAAATATTAGAAAAATTGAGACAAACCTCCCAGAGAGGCATCAATAATCTCTCCAAATAAAATTATAATTTATTTTCCTATGCCCAGTTAGGAATCACCATATTTTTAGATGCAGTCCATTCACTACCTACAAACTCAAAATGTCACATATAGAAAGTGAATGCCATTAACAGAAACATATCCATACCAAAAAAGAAAACAAAGTAAACCAAACCAACAAAATATTGCTTTGCAATTTTAATTCTGATTTTGTTTTCTCCAATTACAGTTTGTTTTTGCTTTGTCTTATCTTATCTTCTTTAGACGCCTGCTTATATTCTAAGCAGAAACAAAAAGGTTGTGGATTCATTTTAAATCTGTTGGGATAAGTAACTGAGTGGATTAGATGTATTAATGATTAATATGAGGGTACTAATAGTGCATCCATGTCACATTAAAGAAAGAAATAAAAGCATTTCTCTCCTTGGAGTGATTTAACCCAGAGTGAGTCCAGATTGAATTCTCTACTTTCTCCTCCCTGTATCTTCTGCCTTCTGTCTATCTCTTGTATGATTCTGAATTTGTCTCTGATTGAAGACTGTCTTGTGACTCTATATTACGTGTCTGTTCGTGTGACTGTCTCTGCCCCTAACAAAAGGCATCCCCATAGCTTTTCTGAACACCAGAGACACCATCTAATGGAGAATGAATGAGGGATATTTTACTGAAATCTTCAACAGAATTTTACAAGGGATGAAGGCACCGGCTCCAGAGTACCTCAAATGACCAGACAACAATGACCAGACAACAAAGAGTACTACGAAAATCATTGGTTTGCAACCAATATCCAAATTTATGTTCAACATTTATGGTGAATATTCATTTTAGAAGATTGTTTTCAACCTCTGTATTTGTTGCTTTCAGCAAATGATACACATGTGCTGTTCTAGGGAGGGTAATGGAAGAGTACATAAATTAAGATAACAGCTATGCATTATCTTAGGTTAGAAAAGGTTATTCCATGGGAAATCCAAGGCAAGTAAGGTTGATTGTTACATTGTTCTCTTAAGAGAAAATTAAACCAACAGGCTGAATACACAGTAGGATAGCAGTCATAAATCTTCAGTGACCTCAAGTATTCTATTAACTTTATGAAGTCCAGCAAAAATTCCAGTCTCTTAGAATGTAAGAAATACATTTAATCATGATGCATTGCCACAAAGAACTCTCTCAAGAGATCAAACAGCAAATAATGTGTAATGGAACACAAGCAATATATAAAGCAGTAATTATTACATTTAAGCCAAATAACATAGTGTTTGGTACTTTTGAAACACTTGTATAATTTTGCTTTAGATATTATGGGAACTTTGGAGACAAATATTGTATATTTTTAGCTTTATTTATTTTTAGTTTTTAAGCTTTATTTTAAGTTCATTATAAAACTTGCAACTTAAAAACATCATGCAGTGACACAAAAATCTAAAACAAAATCAGAAAAAAGACAATGGCTTGAATCTGTGATATGTAAATCAGTTATGTTTTTAGATCATTGGGATTTTTCGAAATAGTTGGGGACTGGTTCATTCTAAACATGTTGTTAAATTTTTGTTAGGTTTTCTCTAGGTCTATTTTACTCAAAAATAATGTTTACCTAATCAAGAATTCTGAAAGCAAAAAGGACAGAAATATTTGCATCAAGACCTAAAACTATGTCAAACCCTGACAAATGCCTACACTGTCAACATTTCCTAACCCTTGCTGTAAAATGCAGTTATCATAGCTGTGACTATTTGGTTTCTAAATGACTTTTATTTCTACAGTAGCATTGGTACTCCTTTGAACAAAGGGTCCAATTTCAGCATTTCTCTACAAAGAAATGCAAGTTTATGACTTTCTACAGTCTAGGTGGATTCCTTCCCATATTTCACAAATAACAAACTTCATAGCATTATGTGTGGAACTAACTAACCTCCAGTTTTTTATAAACTGAAATTGTGGATGCCTGAAAGCTCATCTCCAGACCATAAAGGCAGTGAACTAAAATACCACAAAGCAAACGTCTGTTTGTATTTCTACCCACTCACCCAATCTAAAGTGCTGAGCGATGACCAATCATTACAATAGAATATGAGAAGCTATTTGCCTCACCTGAATATAAGAAAAATCTGGTTTTTCCCATGTGTGCCTCTTCCTATTGCAATCTAAATGGTTTGAAGAGCACATAGCAGGTCTAAACTGGAATGTCTGCCTGTGGCCTATTGATGTTAAATATCAATACCATATCACCTAAAAGTTGAAATAGCACATGCTGGGTTTGGGTCATTTTACTGTTTATGTTGAGAATCTTTTTCAAATGACCCAGGGCAACTTCCTAAGGGATCATTAATAAATATGTACTCAACAGAAGGTATACTGTGAACCAACCCAACCAACCAGTTTTAATAAAGCAGCACAAGTATTAAGTCTCTCATATTTACTTAATAAAATATCCTTAAAGGACCACGGGTCTGGCAATAAACTTGAAGTTGTGTGTAGAAATACAAACAGCCTGCCATGGCTCTAAAGGTTTCCTTGTAACGTGAAACCTAAAATGATTCCCCCCTTTGTGGTGCTATGCAATCCATTCTGTTCCCTTAGGAAGGTTACAGAAACCTTAAATGCTTGGTTTAACTATGTGACCTACATACCCATATTAAACATAACATCTTACATTGTTTTTTCTTTAGGGATATGAAAATTTTAATAGTGTAAACAAGCATTTTCTATGAAATGGCTTATGGAATGCTTCTGACCACACAAATGCAAACTATTGCTGAAATAAAATCATGCATATCCATTGCAACAATTTGCCTGAAGAACTAACTCTACCTCTATGCTGTTTTGACATAGTGCTCTGTTTTGAATAGCTAGGATTGATGTTTACTGCATTGATCTTTCACAACAAACAATCCTGTGTGAAAATTGTCAAGCCACACCCCTAAATATCCCTCTTCAAAGGTTATCCTTATAATACCGAAGAATATGGGGTTTGTTTTTTTGGAAGCGAGTGTAAATAAATTGGGTGTGTCATTACCAATGTTTTATTCTAAACAGGCACTTCTTCATATCCCTTAGCGTCTATGTTGTGATATTATCTTATATAGTAGCCAACAAAATGTGTTGCTGAGAACATGACAAGAGTTCTTTATTGTTAAACCAGTTCTGGAAGCTGCTGTTCTTAAAATAACTGAAAGAACAAAAAGAAGGGACAGACAAAGTGAAAACATTAAGCAGGAATTTGGCGTAGGGCTCAGAGGTAGAGCACCTGCCTGCACACTCAGGCCTGGGTGACACACCCAGCACCATTTTTTAAAAAGTAGAGAACAGTAGTCAACTGGAAAATTCCAAACTGATGTGGTATCTTGTAAACGCTCATAAATGTCAATCCATGAGACCATTTAAATCGCAAAATACAGGATTCAAAGTGAAGAGGAGAATCCATCGGAACCATCTAGTGTGAAAGAACAGTGGAAATGCTTATTTACTGGAGCATGTACCATAAACACTGCTACACAATGTAAAACATTACAATAGGAAAAATTTGCCTAAACATTGCTTTAGCTAGTTTTGAAGGGAAAATTTATAAATTTGAATAAATACCCCTTGATTAAGCAGCTTCAGAATCATTGCTAGAAAATTAAAAGGCATCATTGTTTTAATTTGTTCTATCATTTTTTTAAATATTATACACCATCTAGCCAACTTTCAGTTGCTCATTTAAAGAGGAGCAGACGCTTGGCAGTGTCAATGAGAATTTTCCAAATATGGCATTAGGAGAGAATGTGGATGATACTAGCTATTTTTATGTGACAGAGACTTTATGGTAGGAGAAGGATGCTGGCCATGCTGGATGACATCTGAAGCTGGTAGAACTCTGAAAACTGTCAACAAACTATGGATGTCAAGAGAATGACATTGGTAGTCTATGCTTACATTATTCTTATTTTATTTCAATGCCTTCTGCCTGATGTATGTTTATAACATGAGGAAAGTCCAGGGCTATAGAATCTATGTCAAGTAGACAAAAACATTGATACATCAGTTATTATCTAATAGAATTGCCCTAGTTCTTATTCCCCATTTTGTTTCCATCTCTGCCACAAGGATGGACAGAGTACCCAGACCATCACTATTATTCTACACTCAAATAAAAGTTGTCATTCTTAAAGTATCTTTAGAGGTATAAAGCATGTTTCAAAAATTCATAATCTTTGTAATTTTATAAGCATTAGGCAGTCCATGTTGCTGCAGACTGGTGTGTGATTGAACTTTGAGATTTGGGGGGGCTGCATAATTATAACTGGATTTTTTAAGTTTTTGGCTAATGTGTATGTCAAAGCTGTTACATGCCTTCACTTACACTGATTTCCAAAAGTTGTAGGAGTTATTTTCTTTTTGAAAGACTAATGGTAAATTCTCAATTTCAAGATTCATCATACCAGGAGAGTGATAAAAATCTTGCCTTTCTACACAGGAATTAGAAATTTAAATCAAGATGTTTAACATAGGCTATAATTATGCAAATTATGAAATAAAACTTTAAATCATACACAAATCTGAGTCTTGACTTAAACTGTTACATGCTGTCTTAGATGCTCTCCAACACTCTCATTATATCTGTCTGATGTCATGTACTTTTAATCTTTTCTCAAAAGAAAATGTGAGCATAAAAGAACAGCATGATAATTAAATTTAAAAAAACTCTTTCTTTTCATTGCCTGGTATCTATTCTATATTGAGATTTGTTGTGTCCTAAAAGGAAAAAATCACATTCAATAAGGTACTTGATAATTTTATGATATATTAGAATCCCTTGGATAAGTTCCCTGAAGTCTACCTCACGTTCTCATTTTTATTTACTTCACTAAAAGTCATTTTTCCATGACATCTCAAAGCCTGTTATATTAAGAATTTATTAGAACTCAATAAAAATATATATGTGGTGTGCGAATATTTATATGTTTCAACAAGTGCACAATTATTTGAAATTAGACTCCTATCTATAAGTGATAAACTTTGTGTTCAAAATTGGCTGTCAAAATTACTCAGGAACTAATTCTGATCTTCTGGGTCAATAAAGTTTGTATGAAAATGTTCTATAGTACATCAAACAAGGATTACAATGAGACACTGAAGTAAAGGGAACGTTGAAAAGACAGCAATATAGACAAATATCCATTCTTTATCAGAATTCCACATCTTGAATGGGGAAACACATTTTCTTGCAAGACTCTGAATCACACAACAGAGAAGAGCTCAAGATGTTTTGTTCACCAGCTCATCATCCACTGTTTTTCTTCAGAATGCTGTCAGGGATAATTCTAGAATGCTTCCTCTGAAATGAAAACCACTAAACAGGAAAACATTAATCATAACAATTTCCTGGAATAATTGCTACCGTGCCCAAAGTATGCTTGAATATTGACAGTGTTTCAGAGAGAGACAATGAAACAATTCACTATGATAGCAGAAATATGGCTTCATAGGAAACATGAATACACATAATTAAATTTCATAGTGTATGTGTCTTTATGCTTCTTATTATGGTCCATCACTGGCTCAAACTTGTGAGTCAATCTTTCCCAAGTTAAATTACTACCAAAATTTACAAACTTGATGTGAAGACTATATTGTATTTACAAAGAACTTGGCACTTACAGAATAAATTATTGACTTTTTAAAATCTAGCCCGGGGCACCCATGGTTTAGGCAAATGTGAAAGCCAGATGCCTTATGCATTATGCTACATTAACATGAGTAAGGTTTTCCAGCAGGTAAATGCCACAGTGCTGTCCCTGTTGATGAAGCCAGTACCTCCCGTTTCTAATCCGTGGGGCAGAGGTGGAGAAAGAGAAATTCTTAGTCCAGAGAAAGTAAAGGCTGCATGTTTTCTTCTTCACTTTTATCCATGCGCTTTAGTGCTGTGGGGTCCACTACTGATTGTGATCTGGAAAGAATAAAGCCAGGGACAACGAGTTAGCACCCTGAATTACCTGCATGGCATTTTCTTCCGTCTTTTCTTCACCATTGCTTCTCCCATGACCATGAAGTCTCTTCCCCCACATCCAGGGATTTATGAGCTGTGGATATCACACATTTAGTTTGGCATCAGAGTAAGCAAACAATCCCCTCTGGTGCTTCCCGGGTTTTGAGCAGCAAGAGATTCTAAGTAGAAAATAATGGCATTAATGTTTTCCTGACAGCTGAGTAAGAGTGCTCTCTTTGAGATACTGAGCTTTTTCTAGGAGAGGACAAATATTTTCTGATAAAGTATTTCCGGATAGAAAAGGAAACTAATGGGTAGATACTTTTGATGATGATTTCAACATCAGTAAGAGGCTTAATCTCTGCTTTAATATAATCTATAAAACAAACCCGAAGTAATTATAACTCATTTCTTTATCATCTGCCAATTATATTACATCATCACCACCAACAACAAATCAGAATTTGAATGTAATTTTGTTAAGTTTCCCACTAGAATAGCCAAATAAAATAAACCATGTGTTTGAACACTTCAAGAAATGTTTAAAGACATTTGAAATAAAAATCCTTATTTGGACAGGAAGACTATAATTAAGAAAGAACACAATTTGAAAACTTATGTGTATATATGCTTTTGATATCAAGGTGGAATTACATAAGGTTCATCATTAGCAAATCGCATGAGAATGGGAAGAATAGAAAAAAATGACATATGCTAATATTGGGGCAGGAAGATGTCATTTTAATGGCTATGGCATTAAGAAGCATCTGCCCTTTTAGAGCCCTCCCTGGTAATGAATTCTTCCACGCTGCTGCATTCTAGCCTATTGCCTTTTGCTGTAGCAATGTGCCTCTTAGCAGACTTCATTAACTCCAGAAAAGGAAGACTCTCAGCTAAATTACAATTGCACATGCTAATAAAAAAGAATGTAATGGAACTAATTACATTTTTAAGAAGTGCAAGATTCACCAACAAAATGACTTATTTATTTAAATAAACAACCCTGTTTCAAAAAGAAAATGAAAACGGGAGATTTTTTAAGTGAATGTTAAAGAGTCACTGGATATTTAAAAGCATGCCGATTAAACTTTTCTGAATAAAGAGAACAGGAGGAAAAGAAGACAGAGAGAAAATGGGAGGGAGAAAAGAGAATCACAGGGTAAGACACGTAGTAAGATTTTAATGTCTCAATTTCTAACAAATGAATTTTCATACAAAAGTAGTGGTATTAATCATTTAAAGTGAAGAGCAACAAGAAAAATAGGAAACTAATTCTTTACAGAAAATCGTAAAACTACATCTGCTGTTCAGACTTTGAACTGTCTTAATCATCTCCAAAAAGTAAATGCCAAAGTTGTTTAAGCTGCAAAAAGCCCACCATTAAATAATTTGTGTTTGTCATAATAGTCTGTTAAACAAACACCCAGATACACGCATATATTACTTTCAGTTTGAATAAAATATGAAATTTTTAAGAATATAAAATACAATGTCCGAATTGGAATTAAATTGCTGCTTTGTTTTCTCAGGCATTACAGTTTTCAGAAATGTTGGTGGGTAAATACAGGTTCCATCCGCACAATTTCAACGTGAGTCAGCAATGTGCTGAGACCTCTTGCACAGCAACTACTGATAACCTGAATAAAGACTAACAAAGTTCACACAAAAAAGTAGTTGAGATGTCCTCTATTAATCATGTATACTGACTTTAGGCAGCCATTGAATGACAGAAAACAACTCACTCTTTCACTCAGTTGGCATACAGTGGGAACAAGGGATTCAGAGAACAGAACAAATACAGCCACCATGGTCCACAAAGTTCATACTATAGAGTAAGTATCAAACTAGCCGGATTCATTTCACAGTGTAAATTTTCACAGGAAAAATTTTAAAAGGACAGTGATTGACACAAAATGGCTAGAATAAATAGCACATAGAAATGGTTGACTTGGTGGTTGAAAAGGGGACAAGGACACTTTTGAGGAGGACCTTTGATGGGGTTCCAGCCATTTGAAAATGCATGGAAAAAGAGCTTGAGTCAGATATGACAAGTAAGAGCTTTAAAGAGAGACTAGCTGGAGAAACTGCAGAGAGAAAGCTACTGCATCTGAGGGTAGGAGAGGAAGGAGATGTTGTGATAACCCAGTAGAGAAATGCAGCCAAGGCCAGATGATACAGAGGCTTGTTAAGTCATAATGTGTTGTTATTCAGGATACGATCCTCTGTCATTTGAAATTTAAATAGGAGTTGTATAATGACTTAAATTACATTTTTTAAAGGATGTTTGGATTTCCATGTGAATTATAAATGAGGGAAGGGGAATGAGGTAACAATGGAATTTTTTTTTATATTTTATTTTCCAGTTTAAATTTAGATAAGAAACAAGGTTGCTTCACAAGTCAGTTCCAGGTCCCTCTCCCTTTCCCTCCTCTCCTCCCGTGCCCTCCCCCCAAGCCCCCCTCCCCCGGTATCCCCTCATTCCCCCAGGGAGGGTGAGGCCCTCCATGGGGGTGTCCATAGTCTGTCATTTCATATAGGACAGGGCCTAGACCCTTCCCCAAGAGTTCAGGGTGAGAGTGCACCTCACATTGTTCTATGGGAGTCCAAAGTCCATGTGTATACTTGGGATGGGTACTGATCTGCTGCCCAAGGCTCAATAGATTACTTGGCCTCCTCACTGACACCCACATTCAGGGGGGGGGTAACAATGGAATTTAAGAGGGCCTTGTAAAGTTCTTGGGAAAGGAAAAGGCAGACAGTGTGAGTGAAGAGGCTCAGTTAGACTGAAGAGAGAGATGTGTGCACCCGGTGGGACTGTGAATGAAACTGTCATAGGAGGAATGACAGAGGGAAAGCCTTTCTTAACTGTTAAGAGAGCAGAATAAGGGCCATTAGAGACACCTATCTCTTACACCATATATAGCTCATTTCCAGAGAGGACACTCATGTCACAGTGTCATAAAAGGGTAGATGGGATTTTTGTCAACAATCTTAAAGTCTCCAGATGAGCCCTGTTCATCACACACACACACACACACACACACACACACGAGCACGTGGGCATACATGCACGCACCCACCCACGCACATATGCACACACACACACACACATGCATTCACACACGCATGCATTCACACATGCATGCACACGCACACACAGGGAATATATAAAGCACTGAGAATACAATATTTTAGATATTTTAGTAAGTTTTCTGTGAGAACTAAAAGGCAACTCATCAAGAGCTATTTTATAATAAATATGTAGTAAATGCTAGAGTATAGTAATATTGCTAGTAGAATTATTTTTGTTGGGTGCCAATTATTCAGAGGCAATTACTTTTCAGGATTTTGTTTTAGGAACCCTTTTAAAGTTGGAGAAATGTCATGTAAATACACACACATTCCCACTTAGGTACACATACACAGACTTTGAAGGCAACTCAGCACTCTATCACCAATCACTTCAGGAGGTCAATGATCCCTCGGGTTTACTGATAATTACTGTATACAGTTGCCAAGTGAAGGGAGCCAAGAAACCTAAGGTCAGTTTAAAGACATATTTGTTAGCAAGTGAGAAAATGATAGGTAGCAGGGAAAGTTTCCAGTTCTTTCCCTTTGCTTCCAGGAGGTGTGCATTTGCCTGTAGTTAGTAAACATCATCATCATTATCATACAAAAATATATTGCATGCTCATACACACACAAGAGAGAGAAACAGAGACAGTGACAGAGAGAGACAGAGAGATAAACGGAGGCAATGAAAAACAGAGACAGGAAAGAGGGAAGGACAAGAGAGAAAGAGGAAGGAAAGGGGAGACTCACTCTTTAGGACCACTAACTGAATCACTGCTTTAACCAAAGCATTGATTAAAGCAAGATAGGGATTAGCATGATAAGTGAAATGTCTGCATCTTCCCAGAGAGATAGCAGGGCGTAGGAACCACTTACTCCTGTGGATGGTGATTATGCTTGCCTTAACTTTTAGCATCATTAAGTTGCACTCTGCTGGGGCCTGTGGAAGCCTAAGAATCAAAGTCATATCATTTGCTCATTTGCAACAGGATTGAGAGGCAGAGTCAATCATGCAAACATGCACCTGAAATTCCCCCACCCACTAATTGAAAACAACATCAGAAGAAAACATTATAAGTCAAAACAGGAAGATGGACTCTAGCACAATAATTAACCTTGTGATGATTAAGCCTATAAGGATACAGTGGTTGGCACAGAAATGGCTACCTATAGACAAAGAATGAGCATAGACATTGAACAGATAGCACAAGCATGAATGTAGTGTTTGAGAGTGTGTGAGTGTGTGTGTGTGTGTGTGTGTGTGTGTGTGTGTGTGTGCTGTGTCTGTGTGTGTCTGTGTGTGTGGCTTGTATGTATCTAGATGACCCATGTGACTTTTTTCCTAAGTAATTAATTGGGCTTTAGTGTACTTAGAAAAAAAGTCATTGTCACAGCAAGACTTTAAAATGCTATCAGAAAGAAAATAAGGCACAAAAATGAAAATGTATATGGTGGAGAAAGGAAGTCAAACTCAGTATGACTTGCCTCAGGACCCTTACCCACTTCCCAGTTGATCTGTAGCATACCTCTTCATGGATTTGGGGGAGAGTTCCTTTTCTATTTCCTTCACAGGCATACTATAGGAGTCCACGTTGTACTCACTGTCATCATCATACTCATGGTCTAGCAGGGTTCTTGCCCATGTCCCCATGTCATATGGCGGCAACATTCCTCCAAACTCAGAAGGCAAGATCTCAGGATGAATTAGTTGGTGTAGACTGTTCAGGTTGTTACCATGCAGAAATATCTATAAATGCAAGGTGGGAAGGAAACACATAGAGAAAACTAAGTATTATCCAGAGACTATTGGGAATGGGTGAGGCTAGAAAAGCAAACATAACAGGTTTATATGTTTCTCACAATATTTAAGTATCTCCTCTACTCTATGAAGCAGGTAAGACTGAACCATTATCTAATATTTCATATAGAAGTCCTGAGGGGCAAGAATATTTAATTTCTGGAAGGTCAGATAGTGACTTGGCCAAAGATCTAGAATTATAAGTTTCATTTTCTGCTTCTTTGTCAAGACCATGAGCAGAATATTCTAGGCTCCAAATCTCCTTGGCTTTAGCTGTGCAAACCTGGTGATTTACATAATGAATGCTGTTGAATCAAATTTTTCTCATGAGGGACTCATCAATTCCAGAGCTGTTCAAGTTGCAAAGGCCAAAGGCGCCTCCATATCCATTTCTCTTTATTGTCAGTAAAAATAAGAACATGGTAACTACTCTACTGTAGCTTTATAATCTGAAGTGGATTCTGTAAAGAAAAGTAGATTAGCATCCTCATAAGCAAAGGCTGAGTGAGGCCCATGTCCCAGAGACACGTGATCTGCATTACTGCCAACATTCTCTGTCCTAGAGATTTCCATACTCATTGACCAAATGAAAACAGAACAGTAAATTGCAAGGGTAACATTCTATGTATACTTAAATTATTGGTATTATTGTTTACATAGAGTTTTACTTTATAATCTGAAGATAAATTCAAGTACAATATCAATTATTTTCTACCTCCATGGTTTGCTACCACTTTCTACATTTTTCATTTATAAGAATTAATCAAATTCTTTTTAAAAGTGTTTCCAACATTACAAATATTAAAAAGTTACTCATTAACATGTTGATATAACAAAACTTCATGTCAAATAAGATTATAGCAGTGAATGAAAACCCATTTTCAGTAGCTAATAGCCAATATGCATCACTACTAATAAGGCTTTTAGCAGATATATCACACACCATAGTTTCAAGATATAGACAAAGAAAGCAGGTACTGAGCTGGAAGCTTCCAACCTGTTGGCTAGCTTTCATAGTTTCTGAAGGTGCTGTGCATACTGCTGGGGGAGAAAAGATATCAGCAGTCTTACCTAGTTGCTAACTTGTGAAATGCACTACTAGCCTGCCAATCAAGATGTGCTTACTGATCCAATAGTGACACAACAGTTATGGGGGTAATCATTTGCTCTTAGGTCAGTTTTGAGACATGGTCCACAGAAGGAATTCATGTTTCCTTTGTAAACCAAGTTAAAATCCACTGGCAGAGAGATTTATCAATCTATGGGTATAAAAGTTGAGAAATTAGGGGGAAGTTTATTACTATTTCATTTAATAAAATTGAAGTATTAGGTTCTCCTTTAGGGCCTGTGATCTGGCCATCCACAGATTTGGCCTAGTAAATAGTAGCAGGTATGGATTCTGTTTATAAAGCAGGCTTAAATTTCAATCAGAAAGTTGTTTGGTATTCCTATATCTGTAACACTATAGTACCTGTGGGCCATATCATGCCAGAATTAGTTAATTTTTGTCATTAACATAGTTCACAGTTAACTGAGATTTTGATTACTATTCTTCCTGATAGCACACATGCAATCTTCTAAAATGATGGAACCTAGCCAGTAGAGATGAAGTTTCCAGGTTATCTTTATATTCACAGCATAGTGCATCTTTAAATCCTCATACGAACTTATTTTTTCAGTTGATGGTAATTAACACACACGATTTACCATCATGCAAAGAATAAGAGACTATGGGGTGCTTACCTCTAAGTAGGATATATATATCACATATCCTCCCTCCCAAGACTCAGACATCATTACAGAAAGGGAGCAGAATGATTGTTAAAACCAGTGGTAGTACATGTCTGCAGCAAATCATCATTTCTGAATCACATGAATTCAGTGACTGTGATTGCATGCACAAGAACAGTTAAATTTCCAGCTTGGATAGACAGTGGGGAAGAAGGACAACTCATGAAGTTGCATCCCTCACTGAGATACTATTGATTATTGGTGACTTCTAGTAGAGGGAGAGTGTATTTTCTTTAAGAATGTGGTCCCTAAGAGGATAGTCATGCTCCTGTAGGCAGCCCTAAACCCATGTTCATCCAGGCAGCTATATGTAGAGTCATAAAGCTTTATAAAACCTAAAGAATACATAAGGATGGGAAGGATAGGTGGCTAGGAGGATAGAGGAGATTTGGTGGGAAGAGAAAATAAGGTGGGTTTGATCAAAATACATTTTATATTGCATAAAAATCTCCAAAAAGGAAACAAAGCAAAACAAATAAGGATAAGAATGTCTTCAGCCTTACTATTATTATTCTTAGCATTTATTTACATGATACAGAGTCAAACTGCCTTCTAATGTTTTGTTTATATCCATGCACAAATGTTTTATGTTTTATCTATAGATAAATCCTACTACCAGTCTTAATCTGATAAATTTCTCTTTGCAGTGAATGGTAGTGAATATGGAGACACATTGCTGCTCCAGGTGCTGTGAAGAGATGGCTGAGTGCTCACCCCTAATCAAGACATTTTATACTATTCCACCTAAGAAAGAATGTAATAACCAGCAAAATGATTTCCTGTGGACATGGCACAGTCAGTGCAGTCATGCTGCACTTGCGTTGCAATAGGTCTGTAGAAGAAAGACTGAGTCAATCATGGGCTGGGGAGATTCTCAAAGGACCCTAACCTTCCCTGCTGAGCTATTGGACAGTGATGGGCTTTGAGGCAAGGATCAACGTCTTCTGCATTTTGTATGCCCACTTAGGAGACCACAAGGCTACAATGAATAATCCGAAACCCATGGTCACAAAGAAGGCTCTAGTTCACCTCAATGAATAGTGAGGTAAGGTTGCAGGTAATGGGGTGAAAAGATTAAAAGAAGGTGAAGTGACAGTAACCAGAATATAATATTATATAATATAATATACATGTACATATGTATGGCTTTATGCCTCTATGGATACACATGTGTGAAATGGTCAAAAATCAAACTTTTAAAAATTAAGAAAGAAAATTATGTTACTCTTAGTCTTCCTTCATAAGCAAGTTTTTTTCATCATCAGTTATTGACCTTCTATTCCCAAACTGAAAATAAGAAATTTTCAAATTGTAATTTGCTTCATCATTTTCATTTCTATCATCACAAAATTATAGATTGATCAAAAAGCATCATCAACATCCTATTCAAGTTTCTGTAATATTTATTTTTAAAGTGTAGTTTATAAGTAACTTAATTTCACATTTTGGGTTCAAGATGAACAGGTTAACTAACACATTCATATTTGTTTACATCCACATATGTAAATATATAGGAAAATATATGTTTATCATCAGGTAAAATCTGAGAGATTCAAGTTACCAATCAGCTATTATTTTTAACAAACTGTGGTAGATGAAAAACAGATGTCAGCCAAATATTGGCCAGTACACAGAACAATCAGATTCTTTAAGAGGTAATTATAGTGTTGGAAGATGCCATCTGCCTCACAGCAAACCTGGCTAATTGAAAGTAGAGCACATTCCCACTGCAGTTTAAGACCACAAATCCTCCCCCCCCCTCTCTCTCTGTGTGTATGTACATGTGTGTATAGAACACATACACATACCAATATACTTCAGTCAAAAATATTTCCTCTAAAAATTGTCAAAGTTTCAAAACCTTTATTGTACCAGCTGTCTAATTCTGAAGAAATCAGATGTGTTTCATCGTAACAGAATCCTCCATCAATTCATGAAGGTGTTGTGGCTAAAAGCAACCCTTAGAGCAATAAATCTGGAACTCTCTGTTACCTGCTCCCTCAGCATCACTTCCAGCATTGGCCTTGATTCCACTCTCACTGAGGAAATGGGGCAGCCAGCTGAGATCCACCCACCAGCATCTGTGCCCCTGTGTTCTGCCTCAACACTAGAACAGAGATAGTATAAAGCCCACAAAGACTAACCAGCACACCAACAAAACAAGATCCATCTATTTCTTCAACTCAGCTTTATTTCCCGTAAATCTTCCCTTGTTTTTCTCATATTAAAACATTAACCTCTCGTTCCCATCTGAGAAAAAAAAACTTGCTGTCTTCAAGACCTTGCAAACAGATGCATAAAACCTCTCTTGGCTCTTGGGCTCTTATCTTAGCTTCAGTTATCCTTTAACAGCAGAACTCACAAGAGAAGTTGTTTCTATTCTTTGTCCAGATACTCTTTTCTAGCATTTTGTAAGGCAGTCCACAGCTACCTGATCTCTTAAGACTACATATCACCTTCTGGCAATTTTGCTCTCCTTGACGAAATAATGTCCATTTCTCATCTCATTCCCCCACCCCACAACAGAACTACAGTCTTCTTTAATCTCTGTTTCTGATAACCCCAACTTTTTCTAAGACAGACTCTTGCTGCATAGCTCCTCATTATGTAGACCAGCCTGGGCTTGAATTCTCAGAGATCCACCTTCCTTAGCCTCTCAAGTGGTGGGATTACATGTCATGCTACCATGCCCAAGAAAACTCTACTTTTTAGCCAGATTTATTGTTGCTGTTGTTGTTGTTATTATTATTATTATTATTATTATTATTATTATTATTATTATTAAGAGCTACCCTTTGGTTGATTTTATTCATTCTGCTGATATATACTAACTATAATCCAAAAACCTGTGTCTTGAATACAGACCTTATTCTTGAACTCTACTTGAACTCCCCATTCTCTAAATGATACTTTCACTTCAGTGTTCAGTGGGTACCTTGAATTCCTAAGGTTCAAAACTGACCTCAAAAATCTTACCCTCAAACTATGTCTAATTATTCTAAGCATCAGTAAAGGTTTAGTTATCCTTTCTGTTTCTCAAACCAACATGAATGAATCAAATATTACTTCTTGCATCATCCAAGTTGTCCAAAAATTCTGTTTTTTGTGCTACCACTCAAGGCAGCTACAGTCCTAACTAAAGCCGCCTTCCTCTATAT